AACATAACCAATAGAAAAGCGTCATTCAGGGGCCGACCAAGATTTCCAAGAACTCACTAGCCGATACTCACCCGGTTAATTTTGGGGGCAATTGTTCTGGGTCAACCGAAGGCCTAAATCAATATCAATCCACTCAGGGTTTCTTCTTGCTCTCTCTATCTCTTTCTCTCAATGTGTAATGAATGATCAATGAAATGTTTTGCAGCCCCTCTCCCCTTCTTATCTCAGCACTCTGGGGTTTTTTGCTTCTCTCAAGATATCAGATTTTTTTATATAGCAATGTTTCTTGCCACCTTTTCTCTTGTCACTCTCTTTCTTTCCATTTCCATGTATGTTGCTATGCTGCATTTTTCTGCACTACTTTCCCATGCTGTCTTTTTTCTGTAGCACTCTACATTGCCCTCAATCCTTGTACCCATTTGTTGCCTTATGTTTTGACAGCTCTTGTGGTCAATGCTACTACCTTTTTGACAACATTTTGAAAAATCTGATATTTAGTATGTAGATGCATCATTGTGGATTCATTTCCTTGGTCATGTGACATGTGATGGTCTTGTGATATAATATAAATTGTCACTTCTTGCATGGGGCTGTTTTGTATGACATTCAAATTACCCATGGCTAAGCAAACATAGTCTTGATCTTGACATGTTCCAATGTTGAGTTAACTCTTAAATATTTTCTTTGGATGTTTGCAAGTAAAATGTTGGACATGTAAACTTGTTGGGGCATGAAGGGTACCATAGCATGGAATTAATTAGAAGCTTGAATTAAGACTAGAGGTAGCTTAATTTTCTAAGCATTACCAAGAGCTTGAAACTTTGTAACAAATGTGACACTTTTGCAAATGTCATATTCTTGAATCTAGTCTTAAATTCATGAATCTTGAACTTTGAATGATGGATTCCCTTATGCCATTATTTAAAATGAAGTCTTGAATTATGCACTTGTGATCTTGACTCATGCTTTGCAAATTTGAACTCCACTTGACCATAGAAACAAACATGTATGAAAAAGTCTTGAATTTGGCCTTGCATTTCATGGTCATCAAGAATATTTATCTTGAATATCCCAATATTTTTCAAATAACTTCTTCTTGAAGTAATTTTATTTGGAACGAACCGACCCAATCCTCACCTTGTGAATCCACATGCTCGACATGCAATAAAACGATGTATGATATGGCGAATGTAGGGTATGAAAGGCTAACGGTGAAAATGAGGGTGTGACAGGGACGCCGTGAAATGTTGCAAAAAGAGATCCTACAGGACCCTCCGCGATGTGATAGACCCAGGCTCCATGCTTTTGTAGCAATCCATGGCTCCCTTCCTTAACGTCGTCGGGAAGAGTCTACACTTGATGGCTCCTCAGACGTTCTTGTAGTCGAGCATGGCCTCGATGTCTTCCAGGTGGTCGTCTGGGTCCGTGATAAGTTCTAAATTGTAGTGATATTGAGTGTAAATAATTGGCACTTATTGGTTTAATTCAACCAATAAACCTCAACTTTTGTGCATATGTTGTATAGTTTACGTTATAATGTATATATTGCGTATCATATAAATATGATTGAGTCTAATTATTTTTCTCTCATTTTTGTAGGTATACAAGCAACGATATTTTGTCATTGTCTTATAGAGCATTGAATAAGCTTTACAACACTTCTGACCGCACGTAAAATAGAGTTATAGTTTAAAAGTTATGGTCAAAACAAGTGTTGGCTTTGCTGTCATGTTCGCTAGGAGAACAAAAGTTCACAGTGCGAACATGAAGTTCTAAAACGCGTGAAAAACATTGTTTTGGTAGTAGAAAAAGAGGCATAAGTTCGTTGTGCAAACGGGACTTCGCTATGCAAACACTGGAACCCAATTTTGCCTATTTAAGTGATTTTTCAACATTTTTTAGGTTATGTTGTTGGGAAACTTTTTACCCCAACTTCATCAAACACATTCTTGAGTAGATTTAGCTTAGAAACAACATTGGAGGGTGCATCTTGACGATCCGGAGTCGAATCCACTTCAATCGGAGTTGACAAACTGTGAGATTTTTGCTCTTCTTCCTTCCTCTCTATGTATTTTTCATTTGTTGGGGTTTTGTATGTAAGTTTATCTTGATTGTATGTATATTTGTGAATCTTTGTATAAAATATCTTTTAAAACTCTTTATCGATGCTTATCTTGATTTTTTACTTAATGGGTTTGGATTGCTATAGACATATACGGTTTGAACTCGATCTAAGATAAACATCTGTTAGATTCTAAACTCTAGACATAGATTTAGGACTAATATTCATGTGGGTATCGATTCTTAATGCTCCGTGTTGTCGAGTTGCGTGAGACTTCACCGATGAGACGATACGGTTGATCTCTCGACTTTACGTTAGACATAACCTATGTTATGTGCGATACATGATGATATTGACGAGCGATTTAGGTTGCGTGCATTTGATCCATATATTTTTTAGTACATTATGGGTGGAACGAAATACAACTCCTGACGAGTTTTCTCATTTCTTAAGAATGTATTTATTTTCTTGTTATATGTTTTTCCTTTTACATTTTTATCCAAAACCATTTAAACCCAAGCTTAGAGACGTAGAGATTGTCGAACGGCATTCTTTCCCTCACACTGATCCCTGTGGAGACGATATAAATCCCGGAGGAAATTCTTCTGAAAACAATATTTTTGCTTGCCGTTTTATCGCTCCAACAGTCCGAGGTACCGTCGTACGTGGAGAGTACGGGCGGCTTCTCCATCCCGTGGGGGATAGAGGTTGCCATGATTTCCAGCGACAGGGGGGTCCTGTAGTCGTCCTCATCACTACGGACGAGGGAGCGCAAGGGCGACAGATTGTGCCGAGGGGGTTGATTACATCCCCTCGACCTCTTGCCCGGGGCTTCTGGTCTGTTCGCTCTAGGGACCGGGAAACACCTCTCCTTTTGGGGAGGTGACCGGACGCGCTTCTTGGAGGCCATAGGTTGGGGCCTCTCCAATTGTGGTTGGCGCCCCCGTTGACGGGGAGAGGGGCTCCAGGAGTCTTCGTGTTGATTTCTCCGCGGGGGAGAGCGAGACGAGGTATCTTGCTCCAGCATGCCGATGCGTTCATTCTGCTGGAACAACATCAAATTGGTTTGGTTGATGGCTGGGAAGAGGACAATCATCGTTGGGTCCACTCCAGTTGGCGTAGGAACGGGCTGGAAAACACTCGGGCTCCTTGCTCGAGGTGCGATGTGATGTGTCGCGTCCTCGGACGAAGGAGAGGCAGTCCTGCCGTCCTTGACATCGCCCTCACGGGCGTGGGATGGCCTTGCCTGGTCGTCGCCGTTGGTGATTAGGGCCAAGGCGGAATTGTGGACAGAATCATCGTGACGTGGGCTAGTCATGATCTCGGAAATTGAAGTTGGAAGTTTTGGTTCTTCTGCTCGGAGGAACGGGGAAGCTTTAGATTCCCACAGACGGTGCCACTGACCGTACCTGATCAGAGAGACCGTTGGGCTGCCACGTATCTAAGTTGTCGAACGGTTGACTTAACTGACAGAGGGGGTGTACCTGAAACACACTCTGATGCCAAAGTAAGCGACGAGCAGAGTGATAACAAGTACAGAGAAAATGAGTGAGAATTAGATTACCTAACCCTCTAGTGGATGAGGGTATTTATAATGAGCCCCCAGCGCAGGGCCAACAGTTACTATGCGTTGGACTGGGCTGTCAGGCCCAATGTTGGTAACTTCTAGGGCTGACGTGGCGTCGTGAAGACCAGCACGTGGTCTTCGCCCTAGTGTAATTGTTTCGTGCTATCCGGGAGGTGGAGGACCGAATCATCAGAACACGGATAGTTACTTGATGATGTGTCTCCACGTAGGGGACACGTAGAGAACGTGGGGGAGGTCTGAGGAGCTTCCCGAGGTGGATGGACTCTGCCCAACCGTGGGGCTGAAGAAGGGCTAGTCGGACAGCTAGGACGGGAGAGGATGTTTTGCCTGACGGATCTTCTGCTCGCCGATGAGATCTTATTGAGCCTTCCAACCCATTGGAGTTTAGGCCTGCTCGACTATGGACCAGGCGTTGGTCCAATCCAGAACAGTGGGTATTCGAAACATGTTCTTTGAATTGATTTTCTTATCAATCATCTATGTCAAACAAAAGAATATGTGATATTTAAAAAAAAAATTATTTGTTAATTTAGGTGAAAGTTTTGTTCTATAATATATTATTTATAATAGGGCAAAAAGTTATCTTTTAATTTCTTTGTATAAATTATTACATGAAAAGTCAATAAATGGAAAGAAAATCCAACTACTCAATGTAAAAGGGGTTCTAAAAAAATGTCTTAATCGAGTTAGTGGACCTTTCCTTGAAATAACATGGTAACTACTCTAGTGGTTCCAAATTATAACATAATCAACTATTTATTTGTTCAAAGACAATATAAACTGTAATTGAAAACAACTAAATGAATAGATTTTCAGATTTCACATGCATAATAAAATTAAAGTCAGGGATAGGGACAAAGTTAATAATTGAATTTTGAATGTTTCGCTTTTATGCAAAGGTACATGAACTGTAACAAGGGATGCCCTTTCCATTACTATAATTGTTTGAAGAAAGGTATTGACAAGAGAATAAGATAAGATATTTGAGAAATTGACATGTTACAATAATATAATTAGTGGATCAGAATGTCTTATTTTTAACATCATATATATTCATTATTATTATTTTTGTTAAATTAATGAAATTAGTGTGAAAGTCATTGCCGACACGAATTTGTACAATTAAATAAACACATTATAAGAAGTGTATATAATCTTATGAGAAAAGAGACAAATATAAAATGCAGTTTATGAAGACTCTTATTAAAAAAAACAAGTTTACATGCAAATTCAATCTTATAAATTGGTCAAAAATTTCAAGTCTCAACAGCTTCGAGAGAATAATTCAACATGAAATGAATTTAAAATAACAAAAACTAAAAGTAGTACAATGATTCTTTCATTGTATAATTAAAAGTAAACAAAAAAAGAAGAAGAATCTGAAGAAGAGGTTGAAGAAGAACCAAAACGAAAATTCCTACTTCTCAGATCTTCAAAACTCATACCATTTCGTGACAAAAACCGCTCTGTTGCTCTCGTCAGCACAGTGGCATACTCTTCTAATATCTCCGACATAATCGCCACCATTATCATCTTTCTACCTTACAACTTGTTGTTGTTCTTGTTTTCGGTTTTTGTTATTGTTTTCAAGACTATACAGCTCTCTTATATATAGATATATAGAGAGAATGTAAAGGGTATTATGGTAAGGGTCCTATACATGATAAGACTCTTTTGTATCTCATGAGTTTCCTAGTTACTAGTTATTGACAATTTGTGGCACCACAAAAGCATAATAAGATAACAGGTTGGCAAAAAGGAATAAAATTCTGGAACTTTCTGGTGTACAGTGGTCAAATCATATAGCTTTTGAGGAGATGGGGTGGTTTGATTGAATTGGAAAATAAATGTTGGAGTAGTTTGTACGTTTTGAGCATGAGGTTTGGTAGATGCATGTTTTGGATTATCAGGCTACTTGGGAGGATTTGGCTAAATTGAGTTCTTTTTGAAGTGTGATCTTATCAGCTCATGTTTTCTGTCCCACACATGGGGTTGGCAGATTTGAAATGGTGAGATATCTAATACAAGATTATTGACTTATTTGTGGTGGTAGGAATTAGTTGATCTAAGAGATTACTTCCGCCAAAAGGGAATGTAAATCAAAATTTGTCTGCTAAAACTATAGAAATAGATTTTTTTTTTAAATTAAAAGGTGAATTTGTTCCAATTGACCTTAAGTTCATTGGTCTATGAGTTATTATTTATTTTGAGTGTAGAAATGTGCCACGAGTTTGTTCTTTGAAAAAGAAATGTTTTTTTGAATTGTGGAGTGAGGGTGTTGTATATATACTATTATTGGTCTTATTATTGGTCTTAACTCCTAAGTAATGTGAGTTTCTTTATGTATTGAAATAAATTGTCCATAATTAAGACTAAAGTGTTAAAGAGTCGAAACCTCAAGCATAGTCGGTGGTTCAACCCCTTTATCAATCGTCAATGTTCTGGTTAACCTGGAGTCTGCTGACCACATCGTTAACGAGGTTTTATCCATTGGAATATGTCGTGGTAAAATCTTGAGATGGAGCCTATGAAGGGATGTTTTTCTCTCTATAATCTTCTTCGTCGACATTGATGTTTCTTTCCTTGTTGGGCCCGTTAATTGCTTTTATTGTCTTCTTAAGCGAGTTAGTACACTGACAAGGAGAATTCTTTATGTGCAAAGATTCACTCCGGTAAGTGGCTTTTTGTGGAGAATCTTTGTACGTCTTACTATTCCATCTTCAGGTTTTTTCCTTTGTATATTTACCGAGTCTTCCTTTCTTGATAAGATTTTCAATCGCATCTTTCAGATGGATGCACTCGTCAATTTCATGTTCATGACATTTATGCAACATGCATATTTTATTTTGTCGACTAGTGTTGAATTCTTCACGTATGAGAGTGGGTCACCTAAACTTCTTTGAGATTGATCTTATCACATTTCTACATGATTATTTCTCAGATGTGTTTAATGAGGTGTACTATGAGAACCAATATTGGGGTCTATTTTTTCTCTCCTTATCTTGGTCTTCTTGACGTTTATAATCTTCGGTTTTTCTAGATGAACAATTCGTCTCCACATCTTCAGCTAGCAGAGTCTCTTAATTGTGGATGTATGGTTGAGCTCAGAAAAATAGTTCACTCATACTTTATGGTTCTTTTAATCCCATTTTCTCTTAGAACATGCAACATGATATCAAGCTTTTCTTAATAATCCAACACTTCAGTCTGTCGTTGGCCTTACGCACTTCTACAACTTCCTTATTGAATATGTTCAAGTGCTCTCTGTGCGTCTCTTTCTTCCTCTGGTAAATGGTATTGAGCACAACCATTGTCTTTTCTTAGCGGTTTTGCATCGGTGGGAGGTGAATTCATCACATAATATTCTTCATGAGCTGATAGAGTTATTTTCAAGGGTTTTAAACCAAGTAGCGAAAAATTCCTCTATTGCAACGCTTGAGCTCTTGATGGTTGTAAACCGACAATGACAGGGGCATCCCTCAAGACAACTTTCGAGTGTATTTTGCAAAAACCTCAATTTTCCTTGCAATCTTATGTGGAACCCTTTCCTATTTCTTTTCAACACAAAAGAGCGTCGTATTTTGTTGCTGCAAAAGGTAAAAAATATTAACTAATAACTTGTTAGAGTTGAGGGCATAACAAAGTTTAAAGGCGTTGGAGAAGAAGAAATGATGCAGGAACCAAAATATTATGTTGCGAAGGAGAAATAAAAGGTTGTACTTGAGGGGTAGAATCTTGAGGTGGATGAGCTATATGAGTTTCCTTAACTAGTGGTGGAAGAACCATGGCAAATTTTGGAAAAAGAAAACTGACTAAACATTATCTTGAAGAATTTGAGCAATTGATTGAAGATAATGAGTTACGGTACAAAAAGAGAAATTATGAAATACTTATTATTGTTGGAACTGTTATTAGGAAATGCTCGTGATGGTGCAATGATGAAAGCTCGAGAAAAATGATGAAAATTTTGGGAAAATAAAAAGAAGATTCCCATAGAGAATACCTTTATCCCATATTAGAACTAAAATGTATGAAAGGTTGAAGATAACAACTATAGTGAGACTTATGGTACAATGGTTAGGGTTATGCTTTAATCAAATAGTGGTACCTGCAAAAAGTTAGCACTCTGTTGCACCACAAAATTTGCCTAACCTTTTTCTTTACCTAACTTGTGTTTCATTGCATTCATTGTAGCATTAGAATATGCATTTCATTGTCATTTATGCAGGGGATCAAGAGATGTGCCTATTAAGGAGAGGCTACCCAAGGTTCTAGGGCTAATCAAGAAGCTATAGTCAAGTTATCATCTCCATCAAGCCTTCATGAAGAAGTTCAAGCTCCTTGTGAAAAGGAACAAGTCCAAGCTCCTTTGTGATCATGGAATGTTGTGTTGAGACATGTCATATATCATTTCAAGATCAATTCATCAAGATTCAAGAGTGTGAGAAGTTGCTAAGCTAGGGTTTCTAAGCTTGACAGTGTAAAATCCCCTATTTAGTGCCTAACTTCAAGACCACATATCTCAAGATACAAGTTTCATCTCATCTTGACTCCAACATGAGACTTGTAGAGCATGTTCTTAGATTTCTCTTGAGTAATAGAGGTATTCCATTGGATTTCTAGAACTCAAGATATGAAGCAGACAAGTTACAGGTCATCAGATGAATGTGATTTTGGTCCATGAAAGTCAACCAACTTCTAAGACATTTTTGACCTAGAAGGATGTCTCTCATCATCTTGACCTAAACATGAAAGTTCTTCCTTATGATCTTAGATTTATAAAAATTACTATAAGTCTTCAAGCTGATTTGTGAAGCTCAAGATATGAAGCTTGCAAGGCAGGGGTATTTTGGGAAACTAAGATTATAGGTCACTTTTGATCATAGGTCAATTTCACCACTTTGCACATCTCAAATGGAAATATTTCCAACTTGAAAGTTGCTCCAAATGGGGTCATTTGCTCAATCAAACATCAAGGCACCATGGATTTGGCTTGGATTGAATATTTGATGAAGAAGTTTTCATCTAAAGGGCATTAAAGTACAAATATCCAATTAATTCATATTGGACCATTTTTATCCAAGTTTGTGCATATTTTGAATGCAAAATACATTCTAAGTACAATGTCATTTTTAGATTTGCAAAAATTGGGGTTCAAAACCATGTCATTGTACATGTTTCTTCATCTTGAAGTAACACATTCCAAATCAACCATTGGCCCCATTTCAAGGAAGAAACCTCCACCATTGGATTCATTGTAACATATGCAAGCTATCTGAAGCAATTTCAAGGCATGGCCAGCTATGTCTTCATGCGTTCCATGAAGCTTCAAATGAAGAACAATTGAAATTCAATTGGGTTGATTTCGGCTGCCATTGGGCTTTTTATCCATCCAAATACATTATATATAACCTCATGATCGTGTACAATCAAAGAGGGGAGAATTTGGAGCAAAAAACAGTTAGAAAACAGTTGGAGAAGTTGGAAGAAGGAGTGAAATCGTGTTTTCATATTCTTGAAGCTTCAAGTAAAATTGATCATCCTAACAGCTCTAGGAAGGTTCATAAAGTGTTTCTGGATCAAAAGCATCAGGAATTCACCACTTTTGAAGGCTCAGTGGAAGCTCTCTACTAGGTAAGCTTTCAATCAAGATTGCTCTCTGTATGTGATGTAATTGAACGTCATTTTCACATGTTTATAATCCTTGCACTTCACATATTGATTCTGGATTGGTTTGATGCTTGATTATGGTAATTCTTGATATGACATGAAAACTCTAGGGATTCGGTTAGGCTTGTTTAGGGAGAGTTAGGTCAAGAAAACCATGGATTCGTGATGTATGTAGTGAGATAAGTTGATTGGTATAGGTTTCCTTGAGTTTCTTTACGTTTTGGTGAAGTGTTATAGTGCTAGCCAGAGGTTGAAGACGACCGGAGCTCTCTCCGGCCACCGTCTGCAACTCTCCCCCCTTTTCTCATTTGAATTCAGATGATGTTATGTCTTATTCACCACCCTTGGATTGTGTTTGAAACGTAGACTTGGACTTGATCTCACGGCTGAGATTAGTTGTTATTTTGTACTGAGTTTGCTTGTCTTGCATGGCATTGTTTGGGCCTTTGGATTGCATGACTTTATTCGCATCTAAGGGCCAAGATCTCGTTGACCACACTTAAATGAAACATCGCGTTTTATCATTGTATGTTGCAGCCATCAGATGGCATGACTGGTCTTTGGATCGTGAGGCTGAGATTTGTTTTTATTCTGTATTTGATTGTTGATGCATGCGTGGCTTGGTTGTAGCCACTAGATGTTTGACTGGTATTTGAAACGTAAGGTCGTGATTTAGTCTTAGTTGGTTGACTGAGAATTAAATTGGACTGGGCTTTATCACTCTTTGCACCCCCCCCCCCTAAGTCTGAGCCCAGAATTACACGTGAATGGACTACTTTTTGCACCAACTTTTTTTTCATTTTATTTCTTCTTCTTTATTTGCATTTTATTTTCTGTTTGCATATTAATTCATTAAAAAATGT